TTTGGTTATTTAGGTAGAGAGGTCATTTGTGATCATACTCGAGGTCCTCTAGAAGGCCAACCAATTCATAGTTATCGAGGCGATAGTCTCAAATAAGTGCGAGGAGATGTGTAAAAGACTATGACAAGGGAGACCATAATTGGTTCCAACGTCGATGTCACCTTGATGAAGAAAACAAGATCGACCCGAGCTTCCTTGCTTGAGACCCAAGTTAACCCCCCTTAACATAACAAGAACCAATGTCTTCTTACAAATAAAGGAAAAAAATGTTCTCGAAGGACTCTCAACTGATGAAGACACCTTGGGAAAGGAGAGACAAATCCAAGTATTATTGCTTCCATTGTGACTTTGGCCATGACACAAAAGATTATCATGATTTGAAGGAGCAAATCGAGGAGCTCATTCATCGGTGGCAAATTGGGAGATTCGTTCGAAGACCTTGGGAGCTTTCGCGCTAACCTTAAGGTCTAGTGAAGAGGCAAATCAATGCCATCATCGGAGAACCTACCTCAAGAGAGAACAACACATCGGGCTGCACAGCCTATACCCAAGCCACTATCGAGAAGCGCTCGATGTTAGAAAACGATTAAAAAATATCATTTAAGGATGAGGAGACAGAGTATCTCGACTCAAACTATGATGATGTCTTGATGGCCTTCGTAAGAATGATTAATGCCTGAGTAAAGAGAGTCATGATCGATATAGGTAGCTCTGTCGACATCATCTACTTAGACACTTTTCAAAAACTTAGGTTCTTGGCTAATGATATCACTTCTATGACTTCTTCATCATTAGGGTTCACGAGCAACTCCATCTCCCCTCTTGAGATCATGAGCTTACACATTATGTTCGACAATCAATCTTGCTCCAAAACGGTGATGACTAATTTTATGATGGTTGACATCCACTTGGTATACAACGTGATCATAGGCTGACCCACACTCAATAGGCTAAGGGTTGTGGTGTCGACCTATCACATGACGATAAAGTTCCCTACAAGAACTGTCATTTGGGAGCTGAGGAGTGATTCGAAGGAATCTCGCTAGTGTTATCTGATGACAATCTCCTTATTGAAGTAGACCCGACCTAAAGCACCATCATTGGACCATCGAGATTTTGCTAGGCCCCTTCAACATCCGGAGCCAATGGAGCCACTAGTCAAGGAATTTCTAGGCAAGGCCCATTCTGATCGGGTCATCAAGGTTGAGGCGACACTCCCTAAGGAGAAGCAAGTCCAGCTCATCAACTTTCTCAAGGAAAACATCGAGATGTTCACATGGATATTGAGAGACATGCCAGGAATAGACTCTGACATAGCCCAACACCACTTGAACATTTCCCTAAAGGACCGACCTAAAAAGTAAAAGCATCGTAAGTTTGCTTTGAAACGCCAACATGTGATTAATGATGAGGTAGACAAGCTACTAGGGGCAAGGTATATTGCCGAAGTATGGTACTCCTAATGGTTTTCTATCATTGTATTGATTAAAAATTTAATAAAAATTTTAAAAATATGTGTTAATTACACCGATTTTAACAAAGCATGTTTGAAGGATAGTTATAGGATCTCAAGGGCTCTTATTACTGACAAAGGGGCTCAATTCAATAATATGATATTAAAAAAAGTTTTATTAGTCAAAAGGAATTTAGTTGAGGTTCAGCTTAGTAGCTTATCCTCAAACCAATAGTTTCATTGAAGTTACTAATTGGGTCATTATCAAATGATTGCAGAATAGGGTCCAAGTGAAAGACACGTGAGTGGATGAGCTACTATGCATCTTGTGGGACTCCCGACACCCAAGGTTGACTCGAGAGAATTGTCATTCAACTTGGCATTTGACACGAAGGTTGTTTTGCCACCCAAAATAGTTTTCCCAGGGGATTACTTCACAATAGGAATTTTGAGTCAAACTTAACCTGATCAATAAATTTAGAGTCGAATCATATATTTGGGTGCTAAGATACAAAAGATCAATGGTCAAGCTCTATGACCGACGAGTTCACTACGAGACCTAATGCTTTAAAAGGTTGAGTTCAATAACCTACTCAGACCATAGGGGAAGCTGACACCAAATTGGAAAGGACCCTATAGAGTCGGCGAAGTTATCCGAGATAAGACATATCACCTGAGGACAATAGAGGGTGTGAAGTTACCAAGAATGTGACATATTACTAAATTAAAAAGTTTTATCTTTAAGGTCTTAAATATTGCAATCCTGAAAAAGCTAACTCCTAGCACCAGATGTTGGCCTACCAAGCCTAGAGTCTCGATCGAAAGATGCATCTTTAAAGTATTAGTTATGAAGTAAAATAAACGAGTTTCGTTGCTCCCAAAAGCACTTACACCTATCAGATTAGATATTTACATTCAAGACTAAGCCTCGACCTATCAAAATAAAGAGTTGAGAAGGCTAACAAAAGGAATGAGTCGGATAGACCAACTCAACGACTAAAATCAAAAAGGGAGAGATCAACAATTGGAGAAAGTAATTCAGGTAATAGGGTGAGGAGGTGAGTCGGTGCTATCATCATCTTGGTCCTTAGGATAATCCGTGAACGGATCCTCCTTGAGCTTTAGCTCAAGGTACCTCACCTTAAAGTGGGCCAAGGCGATCTGGTAACCAAAATTTATCTTATCCTCTCCAAACCCTTCTAGAATTTGATGGACATCTCATAATCAGCGACATCTTCCTCTCGATACTCTAGTATGCGGCTTCATTCGCCCTCCAATGCTTCTTTTAGCTTGCAGCCCTCCTCAGTAGCTATTCTAACCTCCTCAGTGAGTTTTAAGCTGGCAGAGGCACGAGCCAAAATGAGCCTAAGATATGAGTCAAAATATCTCGACTCCCGTAAAGAGAAATCTATTACGATAGAAACAAAAGGCCAAATGCACCTAAGATGCCAGTTGAGAAACCCAATCGGTACCAAGTTAAATCCGTTATGATGGAAGCACATGTGAGTTGGGAAACCCAACGCGCGTTATGGTATATCCACCAAGACGGAGATGCAAGGCCATGGTAAATGCAAAAGGACAAATGCGCTCGAGACATCTATGTTGGGAAACCTGACCAACGCCAAAAGAAATCTGCCACAACAAAGACGTAGGGCAAAATGTGCTCGAGACATAAATCGAAAAAAATTGACTCGCCCTCAGATGAATCCGCTATGGTAGAATTATAGGCCTGACATGCCCGAGACATATGAAATGGGAAAACCCAACCCGTAAAATAATCTCAAATGCTCCGATGCTAGATGAACTAAACAACGTGTTTTGAACCCCTTTCGTAAAAGCTCCAAAGCACGTCTTCAAAGGGAATAAATGATAGAAAATCTATCGTTAGCTGACACGTGGTTGCCACATGATATCCAAAGTCACTCTCCATCCATCTATATATATGAATGAAGATTTAAAGTAAGGAAACGTAAACTTTCTTCTCATTTATTATGACAAGAAAGATAATCTCAAATTTTCTTCTCATCCTTTAAAAAATAAAAATATATTTTGAACATGAGATAAATTCTCTTTTGAAATACTGGAACCACATTTGAAGACCTTATATTACCAACTTAAAGATCGGACGGATTGAGTCATGAAACCTCTCTTGATCTAAGTATTCATACAAGTGACACGTTGGAAACACGATATTTTCATCTCGAAGATACTTTTAAAAATTCTATACACACGGGTTTGAATCGCATCGTTATATAAGACATTAACGATATTTTTCTACAATATTATTTAATTTGGAACCAACAAATCGTTTAATCGATTCAATTTCGATAATTCTGATTTGAACCGAAACGAGATGAGAGTGAAGCCATTAGGAAGGCAGAGAAATGAATCACGGGGTTCCAAGGCGATGCAGCCGACCCTTCCCCACCTTTTTATTTATCTGTTCCTCACGGGAAGGCTTGCGATGTGGGCGGCTTCAGCCAACGACGAGCAGCCGAGTAGGGAAACATGCAAGCTATTTCTCCTCATCGATTCCGGTTGATGTGGTCTTCTTCTCCACGGAGGGAGCGATGCTTGTCCCGTCGCTTTGCCTGTGCCCACTCCTACGTGTTGGAAGACACCTTCGACCGTTCCAGTACTTGATGCGACAGACACAGGGATGCAAGTACGGAGGTAGAACGCATAGTCTTGTTGTCCCTTTCGTTGCCGAGTCTTCTCCTTCGAGAAATGCTGTGTGTGTCGCAATATTTAACATAATAAATCCATAAACTTATAATCTCCGATTGAAACCTCTGTTTCATAATATTTGTCGCGATTCAATGTGAATAGGATAACATCCATTAACTTATAAACTCGAGTGGGTCAGAGATCCAATTATAGCACTTACGTGACTGCATTTACCACTAAAATATTTGATTCCTTATGCGCAAAGTCAATCACCACAAAGACTCCCATCTTCTATATCTCTTCACATTTGGGTGCAATCTTAAATGAAAGCACAGTCATCTTTTGCCAATTCAATAAGAAATGTCTACCAAATTTCTCAGCAGAAAAGATAGTCGAAGAGTCGATCTGCTACGATGGGTTTGCGGTGGCAATCAATTTGCTAGCTGTGGCCATGAATGCATCGGGTGGCGTTCGACCCATCCACTACGTCTTTAAGGCTCTACACACACATCTCCACGTCACCAGCCTTTATCCACAGCGTTATCCGAACCCAACATGTCACCGGGCATCGAGGAGCCGACGGAGAGCCTTTATCGTCGTCTCTCCTGCAACCTTTTCCACCTCTCTTCTCATCGAGAACGCGTGACGAACAACTCACCCATCAGAACCTTTTCACGATCGTCATGCCCTTGGCTTTCCGTCCTGACATGTGAAACATGGGAACAGCCTTCCTTCTTCGTCTGTACCACAGATTGCCATCTCCCTCCAGATTTGAGGATTGAGAAACCAAAACCTATTTATTCTCAATAATGATGATGATGATGGGGTAGTAAATATCATTTGTTGTTCATCTTCGTACAATGAAACACAATTTACGGACTTCTTCCCAAAGTTTTAGGCTGCCTCGATTACATATGAATCAAAAGCTTTACAGAATCTCATAGATGTTTCATCATTGATATCTGTATAGAAGAACAGCCCAGCCATGACAACACCAAAAAGGAGGATGAATGCTAGAAAAGATTGGTTCGTGGTCCGTTTAGAACCCTTCTTGGATTATTGAAGGAGGATGAAGGACCGGTCTGTAGTCATACGACTGACTTGGACTTGCTGCCATTGCTCATCTCAACGTTGCCTACATGGACGTCATCATCCGAGATGAATTTGCTCCAGAACCAATGGGCCTTCCAGACGAGGATCATCTCCTCGATCGGCACGTTTTTGGTCTCGGGAAGGAAAAGGGCGATGAAGGTGGTCATGATGACCACCCATCCGGCGAAGAAGTAGAAGAGGCCAAACTTCATGTGGCAGAGCATGGCGAGAAATGCTTGAGCGATGATGAAGGTGAAGAGCATGTTGACCGACACGTTGATGCTCTGTCCTGCTGACCTGATCTCCAGAGGAAAGATCTCGCTGGGAACCAACCATCCCAGGGGACCCCAAGACCATGCAAATCCAGCAACGTAGGCACAGATGAAGAACACCATGAAAGCTGCATAGGTCTTGGAGAAGTGCCCCTCTCCGCTGGTGCCGAGTTTGATTGCGATTAAGGTTCCGACTATAATCTGCACTCGAAAGAATCAAAGCAAAAGAAAGAATCAAAATCTAAGTTGCACTCAAAGGTTCAAAGCGATGGAAAGTAGCGACCGATATGAACTAAGGAACAGGAGATGAAATCGCATGAAGAATAGAGGAGAATTCGGGATTTTAAGCAATCGAATAATGAGATTTCTGGAAACGTATGTTATTATAATACCTGGCAGAGGATCATTTGAAACCCGCCCTGCAAGAACAGCTTTCTTCGGCCGAGCTTGTCGACGGTGAAGACGGACACAAGCGTAGAGAACACGTTGACCAGCCCGGTGATCACGGCGGACATGAGCGAAGCGTTGTCGCCGAAACCGATGGTCTTGAAGAGCACGGGTGCGTAGAACATGATCACATTGATACCGGTGAGCTGCTGGAAGAAGGGGATGAGGATGGCCATGGTGAGCTGCGGGCGGTACTTGCGCTGGATGATATTGGCCCAAGGGTGCTTCACCAGCTTGGACTCCTCGCTGGCCGCGACGAGGTCGTTGTACTCCTCGTGGATGTCGTCGGTGCCGCGAATGCGACGAAGCATCTCCTTGGCCTCCTGGGGGTGACCACGCTCGATGAGGGAGTTTGGCGTGTCGGGGAGGAATAAGGCGCCGAGGGTGATGATACCGGCGGGGACAGCGGCGAGGGCGAGGCTGATGCGCCACCCCCAGCCGCCCTTGATCTTGGCGGTCCCGTAGTTGATCAGATTGGCGGCGAGGATTCCCACCGTGATCATGAGCTGGAACCCGATGTTGAGCATCCCGCGTAGCTGCGCCGGAGCCATCTCCGACAGGTAGACCGGCACAGACTGCGAGATTGCAATACCGAAAAAGATTGGAACTTTTTGATCGCCTACACATCTATAGCTTAAAAATATATTTTTTTCTACAGGAGAAACGTGGGAATCTCTGCGGCTGGTGGAGGGTCATTTGAACTACAAGACTGCAGAGCAAACTGTCCTCGAATGAGACAAACAGGATCATGCCAAAAGATATCGGAGGAGCGCACTGCTAATACGCCTAAGACGTGTGACAAAAAGAGACCAAATGAGAATTGGCATTCTAATTACCTGTAGGACAAAATATTGACAATGTCGATAAAAGGACTAACAATGTTGTTTTGATTCCCAAATTTATAGTAACATAGAAAGATGTTGGTAAATCACACGGACTGGCGATTATATCGACATCATCGATTCATCCCCTTTCTGAGATGAACCGTCGGTGGTCTAAGTGTACAGCTCTTTGCTTCAATCCAATTTTTAGGGCCGATAGATCCAACAGAGGTCATCTAATTCATCTAATAGAGGAAGCTTCTACTGTAACCCTAAATTGTTGGAGGAAGAAATGGACAAAGATTGGGTTAAAAGTATTCGACCTATGATGAGATTCTTCCCGATGGAGAAGAGGAAGGGGAACAGTAATCTTTGTTGAACTTGAAGGATAAGATCAAGGAGACCTACCTGGTTGGCGAAGCCGACGCCGATGCCGAGGAGGATGCGGCCGAGGATGAGCATGAGGATGTTCCTGGCAGCGCCATTGAGGGCGGCGCCGACGAGGAAGACGAGCCCACCGCCGAACATGGACCACTTGCGCCCGAACATCCTCGTGACGGCGGACGCGAGGAAGGAGGCGATCAGCGCCGCCAGGTACAGCGACGACGTGAAGGTGGTCAACAGCTGGCTGTCGAACTTGCAGTACTGGTTAGTGCTCGTGTCCTTCTTCTCCTTCCGGTAGACCTCCGGGAAGAACTTCTCCAGGAAAGAATCCATCGACGTCACACCACCTACCGATCCCCAACCCACATCAGATCCAAACGCAGAAAGAAAAAGAAGATCCAACAAAGAGTAGATCGAAATCACACCGGATATGCCGATGTCGTAGCCGAAGATGAGGCCGCCGGTGGCGGCGACGACGCAGGTGAGGAAGACGAAGAGGGTGAGCTTCCCGGGGTACTCCTTCCCGCCCCCGGTGTTGACAATCGCGCCGCCCGCCATTGTACCACCGACTTCCGGCTGACGCGAACAAAGACCTAAGAGCTCGGATATAGAGAGCGACGCAGAGCGCAGGAAACGAAGAAGAGGAGGAGAGTTGGATGCGAGAGCAGAGGGAGGAGGGCGGATTTAAATAGGCGGGGTGAGGGTGGGGAAGTGGGCGAGAAGCAATCGGGTCACGACGGCAGCGTTTCGGGCCTTCACTCATCCGCGTGCCGACATGGGCCGTCGAATCCTGACCGTTGGTGGGGAGACTCGCGGCTACGATACGAGGAGGAGGGGAGTTGGCACTGTGTCGTGGCAATTAACGTTGCCGTTGCTGTGTTGAGACCAAAACTTGGGTTCAACGTTATCCTCTTGCATTTATACGCCCACATTGTCCAAGTATTTAATTTGTAATTTGAATGGTTTCCTTGTAAAGAACATGATCTTGAACTCAAATTTTATCGAAAATAATAATATATTTTTTAATATCTAAAATATTATTTTTTTATGGATCGATCCATAAAATAAATCATTTCAATGACATTATTTTTATATTATATTGTATTATTTTTAATAATACTAAAAAAATTATAATATAGTATTTTTATATAAAAATAATAATATTTATAATATTTTTACATTGTGTTATAGTGTTTATAACAAAATCAGAAAAAAAAAAACACTGCAATGTAATACAAAAAAAAAAATTATAACATTAAAAATATTATAATATAATATAAAAAAGGTTCCTTTTATGTGATTGAAGGTATTTAAGAACTCAAAGAATTCTAAAAATAAGGGATACTATCTAAAAAAAAAATCCTTTTTCCATGACAGTAGTGGAGTTTATTCCTATGGAATCAAACATTTGATGGTGGGATCAGACGCTGCTACAACTTTGCCATCTTTGCCGCGTGGAAACACATTCGTCACGTCCATTCGATCGTACAATATAAATTGACACGTTTATAGAGCAGCTAATATACAATAAGGCGTCGTTCAGTGATGCTGACTCGACCGAGTAATTCATTAATCCACGTGTGGTTAAACGTGGGGTGTTGTTGGATGCGATAAATACACGTCTTATGGGGTGGGATACGGTGGCTGCGTAGACGAGTCAGAAGACATGGAAGTACATCGAAGTCCGGCTGATGAGAGCCGTCGAGGTGACATCGATCTGACACATCGTGGCAGGAAATCCCACTGTGTGGGACACTGTTTGACTTGCGCAGTCTCCTTACGCCACTCGATGGTCTCAGTTGGGCGCCACCACCGAGGACCACCGGAGCACTTTACCTGCTCCTCCTCTGTTGCGGCCATGACCACTGTCTTGTGAGGCCGACCCATGCAGTCATGTGTAAGACGAGCCGGAAGCAGCCACGGTGCCGCAGAATCGACTGGTCAACCCATCATTCAAGCTGGGTTGGCTTGACCCGACCTCGAAGTCAACGCGTTGGTGGGCAGCCAAAGATCATGTGCAGTAGATTCTGATGCCAATAGCGCGGAAGTCGACGACTCGACGACTCGACGACCTCTCCCTCTCCCTCGCCACGCTCCTCTCCATATGCCCATCATGCCTGCCTTAGCAGACTCTTATCTGATCACGCGTGCATCCGTCCATGATCAACCCATGAGATCTTAAAGCAGACACACCTTTCCCGACAGATATATATATATATATAGCGACATGATTTGTATATTTGAATAGTGTTATTATATGTTGTACACTTTAATGGGTGTGATATGTCACAAATTAAAATAATAGTATAGCGTGATTCATGATAAACACCTGATTCAAGGAGGAGAGGCCCAAGAAGGAACCAAACTCGAGGAAAATAAAATTAACTAGAGAAAAAGAGATGATGATGATGAGGATATGATATTATTCTGAATAAAGAAAAAGAAAAATGGTCAACTATTAATGGATCTCCCATGTGCTATCTATCATCACCTCTTGTCTTGTATGGCTCTTGAGACAGATCTCGGTCTGGTTCTTCCAACAGGGTATGGTCTAAAGGTCTTCTCCCTAAAGGGACAGCCACCTCTTTGGCTGATGGTGGAAGTTTGCATCACTTTTTAGGTCTTTGGAAGGGATGTGAGAGGGAAGATCCACCTACATGATATTGAATCACCTTTGAGGTCTTTGGTGCTTCTTCTAGTTTAATATTAGTTTTATGAATCTCAAAACTACACATCATGATTATATGAAATCGACAGTTTTAGTTCAATAAAAAAAATAAAATTATTTTTAAATAAATTTTATTTTATAATCATCAATAATCTTTTATGGAACCAAAATGATAATTTCATATTTAGTTTCGGATCATCAGTTTCTCGTAAGATTCACCTATAAGATTATGAATCATCTTTCAGGTCTTTCGTACTCTTTATAGTTTAGTATTAGTTTTGTGAATCTCAAAGCTACATCGTGATTATGAAATCAATGATTTATTTTGTAAAAATAAAAAAAAAAAGTTTAATTATTTCCAAACAAATTTTATTTTGTAATAATCAATTATGAAGTCCCTATGGAACAAAAGTGATAGTTTCCTATTTGTTTCGAGTTTCGGGTTTCATCAATTTCGATTGATAAAAAAAAAAATTCTCATAGGAAACAAACATAAATCTTCCACTTTTAAGTTTGAATTGCTAAACAATACATTATTCTTCTTTTTCATTTTCAACCGGTTTGAAATTGAGCCGAATGGTTCGAGGATCGAAGCTGAACCGCCGGTCTGATTTCGGTTCTTATCCGATTCGATTCTGGGTCGAATCGGACCGTGTTCACGGCTATGGATTTAGACCACCGCAACTCCCCAAGTTCTGATGTGGAGTCAGTCGCGGGATTTGAGGTCATATTGGCAGTGGATAAAGCAGAGGAATAAGAAGGGCAGACAGCAGCAGCTCTTCCTTCCCTTCTTCGTCTCCGGTACTCATCCTATTATTCCATGTCGTCGATGCTGGTGGTGTCTGCCGCCCGCTTCCCATTCGTAAGAGCTCGCTGGAGCCGATCATCGCTCCTCCTTCCTCGACTTGTCGGACGGCGAAAGGGGCTCCCGAGAAACCGCAGAGGCAAAGCTCGCATTGAGAACTGCTCCGTCTCGGCCAAGAATTCCAAGCAGTCTTTGGTGAGTGCGATTGCCCGTTCTTGGCTCCAATATATATGCTTGCCTGGCTTATGACTACCTCCAAATTTAGACACATTCGTTTCCATCTGACGGAAATATGATTCGTCTTTAGTTTCTCCTCCTCTTCGTAATTGAATGGTGATTTGGTTGGTAGGGATCGAGTTGGGAGCTTCGTGCTTTCTTGTTGTAAATGTAATGCATTCGAGCATCGAATTCATGTAATGCTTGGGGGTTAGGTTCATTCTCAAAATCAGTGATCTTGTCAATACCATTTTTATGCAATTTCGATATCAGTCAATGTGCGCTATAATTATTGGAATTGTTGGTTGCATTACTGGAATTCATTCTCATCCCAGGTGTGTTGCTTATAGAGGCTTTTTCTTTAACTCTGGGTACCCAGGTGTTTTCAGGTCTCCAAAAGATTCTGTTGTGCCCAAATTTATCAATGTTCTATGATGGAAGGAAAAAGTTTGCAAGAGCAATAGCTGTGATTCTCATATTTACTCAAATATCATTTCCACTACATTTGAGCAATTGGGTGCCCTGGTTTCTATTTTCTGCAAATGCAGTGCTTTATTCGCCTGACACTAAGGTCCCTAGAACTGGAGAACTTGCTTTGAGGAAGGCAATTCCTGCCAATTCAAACATGAAAGCAATTCAGGTGAAACATGTTGCTATAAATCTCCCTTTTCATATATTGAATCTCATAAGCTATCTATTTTCTCTTTGCAATATAGGATTCTTTGGAGGATATCTCATACTTGTTAAGAATACCCCAAAGAAAGCCCTATGGTACAATGGAAAGTGATGTGAAGAAGGCTCTGAAGGTGCATTTCTTATTTTCTCATTTTATCCTGGCAATCAATATCTAAAACATCTATTTGTAGCACAAGGAAACTACTTTGTGATATGTTATGCTCTCATGACCTGAAAGCATATGGTAACTGTTAAAGTGCTTGAATGTTTCTGACCTGAACAAGTGTGGCCCTTTGGTTGCTTTCTTATTCATTTTTAGAAGATTAAATTTCTTTATCTTATTTGCTTTCTTGTTGCGTTGGGACTTTTCTGGCATTGTAGAATTTGAACAAATGGACTTTGGTGATGAGTTCATGCTTGCATTACCACAGTTATTGTAATTGTTACAAAGACAACCTTCATTGTATATGCACTCTGTATGATTCTTGTGATTTGAAATTATAATTAAATATGGCTAAAAATAGAATATCTGAATTTTATTCAACAAACAGGAGACTTTATACTTGTTGATATCAAATAGCATTCTTTAATTATGGTAAACTGATCCAATTCATCTTATTTTCTTTGCTTGGACTGTTTTGATTATGTTTCTGGGAACATTGCTTTAATTTGCTTTGATTGTCAAGCTACTACATTGAAGTTCTCTTCTTTCAGATTGCAACTGAGGAGAAGGATGCAATCTTGGGTAACATACCGATGGAACTCAAGGAAAAAGGCTCTTTGCTATATACTACTTTACTTGATGGAAAGGTGCACTTGATGAGATATTCAGTAGGCTTGATGAGATATTCAATCTTAATAACTAATGATTGCATTCTAGAACTGAGACAACTTAGTTGAAACCATGAAAACAATATGGCCTTATATAACACCATAGGATCCCTCAAACTTTCGATGAGGGACTAATTAGAGTGTCACAGCTATAGTATCATCTAAATAGTAGAAGCAATTGACCATGAACACAAGTTAAGTCTAGGGCTAAACTACATTAACTTTCTGTATGCTTTTCAGGGGGGATTGCAAAACCTTATTGAGTTCATAAAGGTAAAGGACCCAGATAAGGTATCTGTAGGTCTTGCTTCATCTCTTGACACAGTAGCAGAACTGGAACTGTTGCAGGTACTATCAGTTACTATGATAGCATTCGTACAAGCAAATGTTTGTTCAAGAGCAAGGATTTCTACCATCACATCTATTTCTTTAACAGGCTCCGGGCTTGTCTTTTCTGTTGCCTGAACAATACATGAAGTACCCAAGGTCACCTCTGCAGCTCTCTTCTAGCTCCCATCTCTGACATATTTATTAGACAGTGTTTTCTGGATTTTGCATTTTGTTGCTATATTACCTACATTTGTTTAATTAATTGGAACAGCATGAACAATCAGATTGTTTGGACCTTCTGCTCCTTGATGTTTGTGCCGCTTAGTCTGTTCATACCTTATTGCAAACACATAAAACTCACTCTAATTTTCATGCAGATGGTTGTGCCAAATATGTCCACGATATACTATTTCTGATGTTACTATCTAGCATCTATGACAGCTTTTAAAGATTGAATTTTTAGTCTTTATTGACACCAAAAAATACTTACAAATTATTTATCATAATAATTGTTACATGGGAAGTACAATTTTGTGGTAAAGATAATGAATATTCTCAAACCATCTTTACAATGCGAACCGAGACACCAAACAGCCTTTTTTTTTAATTGTCTTAATAATCTAAGACATTATTAGACATATCTGGACTTGGTAGGCTTATATTTATTTTACCTAATGAAAAAGGAGAATGAAAATAATTTGTGTTGAACTTCAAACTTTGTCCTAATCTAATTAGATGTTTCTGTACATCATACTTTACAGTTTTGATTTCAGTAACACGAATGGAAATTATGACATGCATAAATTGTATTTGATGTTTGATGGAACTTGGAGACTACTGCTGGCGGGGCTTTGTTTTTCCCTCGATGTTCCTTAAAAAAAAACAAAGGAAGGAAATCTAGAGACCACTATAGAAAAAGCTTATGCCAAGGCTAGTGCTTTATATTTGACCTATTGGTGATTATAGAATTCACATTAAACATCTTCATGCTATTGGTAGGCTAACAGGTAGAGGAACAGTTGAATTTACCATTGAGAAAGTGGATGGCTCCACATTCTTTCCAAGTGCTGGTGGTGAACCAAAAACGACAACTACCATCCAGGTTTGCTTCATTTGGGATAACTCATGGCATGTTGTCTCAGTAGATTATGATAAAACATATATTTTGAAATGCAGAATTTACAGCACTGCATCGAATTATAGCAATGCTACCTGCTAAGACAGGTATACCTGCACGGATATATCACAATATGATGATATAATGTGCTTAAAAGACAAACAAAAATTATTTAGAATTATTTTGCTAGGTACAGTACTATATAGTATTTTTATTGTTTCTAATTTATTGAGGCCAATATGAAGAGCTTCTGACCAGACATGATATCTGTTGCTTCTATTTAGTAACAGGTTCTCATTTTCTCAAGTTTTTTAAAAATTTTTGTAGTTATTAAAACTGAAAGCTGCACATCATAATATTTTTGGCCTTATTTTTCCTACTCTGAAGATGAACTCTAAGTTCACTAGACAAGATGGCAAATCAGAACTCGTGAGAAATTGATGAAGGAACAAATGATTGCCATTGGTTCGATTAAAGTGCATTAATATCAAGACACACAATCATGGGTCAAGAGCAAGTTTATTCTTGACTTAATTGCAAAAGAATTTCTCTCTTAGCCTAGTATAACATTAAAAGTTCAACTTGGGGAACTAAAACACATGAGAAGAATTTCTGAAGTTTGCATAGTGTAGCCGGTGGAAACATGAAAACCCTCAACGAAATTATTAATTTACAGAATAAAGATATTTTATTTGACTCCTTTCAATTTTGACTAGAGTATTAGTTTATTATGACAGAAGCTTGATGCAATCAGCAGATGTACATTACCTGATAATCTTTTCATTATATTCCATCTTCTTTACATATCAAAAAGCCTTTTTCAACTAGCTAATATTATGTTGTTCTTAAAGACTGACTTTCTTGTTTGTTCTCCACATCTACAGGTTGTCCTTGATGGATATTCTGCCCCACTAACTTCTGGGAACTTTGCGAAATTGGTAAGGTAGCTAAATGTAACTTGGTCCTGTTCATTTATAGCACTCAAACATGGGGATGGCAATGGATCAGGCATGGTGATTTTCAACTCAATCTGGAGATGACCCATATACCATACTTCCTACTTGAACCTATCCAAAACTTGATTAATGGGTACTTGAACTCAGTTTAAGTTAATCATGTAAACTTGGATACAGAAAAGAGCTGATCCACTGTCATCCTTAGCTTACATTGGGAATGAAAAAATGAGTTGGGTACCTGCTACCTGCACTGAATCTGACTACCTACCTACATACCCGAAACTCAAACCTTACTTGGATAACTACGCATATCCAAATCTGTCCTGAACCTGAACGATATCTGAACTAAGATTAAGCTGATTACCTGAACAATCTTACCAGCTATCATCCCTGCTAAACTATTGTTCACTATGTTTATGACAAAATGGCTGCAAGAACCTTTGTCTCTGAGTTCTCTGCAGATAAGTCATCGACTTGATTATTATCATGACTAGTTGGAAATCAGGAACTTAAATTTTGAGTTACAGGTGATCGATGGAGCATATGATGGAGTCAAGCTGAAATGTGCAAGCCAAGCTATTTTATCGGATAATGAACTTGAGAATTATGGGTATAGTGTTCCATTAGAAATGATTCCATCTGGACAATTTGAACCATTATACAAGACGACTCTCAGTGTTCAGGTCCTTTTGGTCTTCATGCTTTACTGATGGTTGATTAGAGCATGTTGGTCTTATCTATACTGGGAGTTGACTTTTCTCATTCGATCTTGATAGGATGGAGAGCTGCCTGTGCTTCCCTTATCTGTATATGGAGCTGTTGCCATGGCACATAATATAGACTCCGAAGAATACTCCTCACCATCTCAATTTTTTTTCTATCTCTATGACAAGAGAAATGTGAGTAAATTACTATAGTCTATAACCATGTTTTGGTTAGAGTCACATTTTTTGGATGCACCTCAATAGAATTTATTCTAAAAAGGGCAAAATAGCTAAGACACTAAAACCTCCTTATGTGAGGTTTGAAAAATGCCAGAAAATATACAAGACTTAATGGCACAATCTGTGACACCTTTGGCTGGTGAGCATTGAAAGCATGGATACTAATTCATGACACTGTGCTAATGCTCCTTGCCCATGTCACAGTTATCATTACCCACTTTAGCATGCACTTGCACTATGCTAGTCTGCTATCTACATGTGGTTATCGTATATGCTCATCTGAATGGAACTGCCCATTTCTTATCTTGTCTTTGCAGTCTGGCTTAGGAGGTTTGTCCTTTGATGAAGGCCAATTTTCCGTTTTCGGGTAAATTCTCAGGACTTCAATTCAAATACATATACAATTCCTTTCACATGATGCAATGTAAATCCATCTAAATTAAAGTCACATGGATGCTTGCATTTTGCAATTTGCAGATATACAGTTGGTGGAAGAGAAGTACTGCCACAAATAAAAACAGGAGATATTATTCGATCAGCTAAATTGGTGCGAGGTCAAGACCGCCTCATACTCCCCGACGGAAATTAATCTGCTTATCCACACAACATAATTCTTCCATTCCTTTGTGGTTTGCTCTTAAGAAGGCATAGACTTTTCTTGTCAAAGGCTGTGCTATTAAGCTGTAACCTATTGTGTTTCATTGCTAGGACATGGAACCATGAGCCTGGAGAGTTTGAGTTAGTGTGTGCTACATGATTCATTTTGTTCTTCTTGATGCACATTGAATCTGCTGTGATGACTACTGGTACCAACACTTGCATACTACACCTATCTCAGTCTTGCAGCTCCAATTCTTTGTGAACTCGGATTGTTATTTACCAGCACATTTAACATATATTATTGGCATCCTGTTGCCATGGTTACAGAGAGGCACTTTACAGCTTCACCAAGTTATAATGAGCAGATTTTTCTTTGGATATTAGTGCTTTGTATCGGCAACCAACATGACAAGGCTGCATATATAGCCAAGTCTACGTTGGGGACGATAAGTGGACCTAATTGAGAGATCGACGAACTCAATTCTCGATCAGATCATTTTTGTGTCCCTCTCTTTGGATCATCACATCTGACACTCATCAGGCACTGATGTATGCAGCACATATTTAGTTCCTCTTATTTTTTGCACTATCAATCGAATTGACATAATGGAAAGAGCTTCTTCTCCGGGCGCGGCGCTGTTAGCAATTCCGGCGGTCGGCGGCTCCTCCGGTCCGCTCATTCAACCATGCGAGGATATCGTTCCGAACCATGGCGATATTCTCGTCGGGCTCCCCGAACAGCAGCGAGTGCAGCATCCCATCGTAGATCTTGATGGTCTTGTCCTTGCTCCTCGCCGTGTCGTGGAGCGCTCGGCTGACGCTCGGGTCGGTCACCACGTCGGCGCTCCCGTGCAGCACGATGAAGGGGATGGTGACCTCCGACAGCCTGGAGTTGAGGCGATCTGTCACCCTCATCAGCTCCGCCACGGTCCCCAGCCGAGGCCTCCCCGCGTACCTTAACGGATTGCTCGCCGCCACGACCCGCTTCTCCTCCACCTTCACCGACTTCTCCAACAGATCGGCCGTGGGGACGACGGGCAGCGTGGGGGCGAACTTCGCGACGAAGGTCAAGATCTCCGGGACGGGCCACCTCGGCCGTATGCTGTCGGAGATCTTGCACATGGGCGCGACGAGGACGGCGCCGTCCCACCCCTGCTCCCCCTCCTGCTCGAGGAGGTGGATCAGAAGGCACAGGGCGCCGCCCATCGATTCGCCGAAGAGGAAGCACGGGAGGCCCTGCAGCCCGGGGGACTGCCTGACGGAGCGGAAGTAGGCGAGGCAGTCGCAGGCGACGGCGTCGACGTCGGAAACGAAGGCGCGGAGGCCCTGGGAGCGGCCGTGGCCCGGGAGGTCGAGGGCGAAGCAGGCGAACCCGTGCTGGGCGAGGAAGATGGGGGTGGCCTGGAAGGTCCAGCTGATGTCGTTGCCGTAGCCGTGGATCATACAGATCAGGGCTCGGGGACGGCCGGGTGGGGAACTCGTCGGCGTAATCTGCGGCAGCCAGGAGCGGGTGAAAAGGGTGACGCCTCGCCGCGAGGTGTAGAAGGAACTGCTGCCGTGGATGCCTTGGGCGGCGTAGTAGTCGTCTTCCTCCGCCGGGTCGTCTCCCCAGAAGTGGCTCCTCCCCCCCGGCGCCTCCGCCGCCGCCATGATGAGATGATATCTCTGGCCGCTGCTCCCGCTGGGTTGTTGGTGTTGGTGTTGGTGGTGGTGGTGGTGATGACAAGCGTTTGACTCCAAATACTTGCTGCCTCGCTTCCACGAAATTAAGATGCATATCTGCCGTCAGATACGTAGAAAGACGGTTGGGATTGAATTGTGGAGTGGGGAACAATGCATATTTTAAATATTAATTTATGTTTGGTAAAGTCTTTAAATTATATTTGAATTAAATATTGATGATGATACTATCAAAGTAGTATTATTATTTTAGCATTATAATTTTTTAAAAATTTAAAGTAATTTATAATATTGTTTAAATTTACAAGAGTATCAATATGATTTATGTCTTCTATAAGTAAAAATTTTATTTATTTATTTCTTAAAAATATTTTATATTTATTTATATGACGATGATTATTGATTTATTATATATCTAAATCATATAAATTTTTTTATAAGATTACATATATATATATATATACATATTTATTTACTTATTAATTTAAATAAAAATATGTATTTATTTTTTGGATAAATATAAAAAATATGTCAGAGTGATAAATTTATGACATAATATTTAATGGACTTTTGAAATATAATTTTACCCTTGGATAAATATACATATAAAATATAGTCATTATTATTTACCAAACACTTTGAGTGATGAGGGAAGATGTTGATGTCTTGGTCAGTTCGATGTGGTCTGGATTTATATACACAGGATTATTTGAGGTGCCTCCAAAATGGAAGCATCAAGCTCCAAAGGTGCCACCTACATGAGGTCGAGAGATGTTTCCTAACTTGGTTCCTCCAATACCCAAGCTAGTAACCCTAGGTGTATGAGTGCGAATGTGAGTAGTAAAAAAAAGTCATTCCCTTTTTCATTATGTTGAAAACAAGCTTTTATACCTGATTATAAAGGAGTAGAATATTTTATGAAATATTTTACAGAGAGATAGCCTTTGATTGCCTCCAATAGCCTCCCATTAACCTCTTGTTTATATAGGAGACAATGGGTGATAACTTGTTTGCCTCAGACCCTTGCCCAAGTGGGCAAACGAGTATAGGGTGAACTTGTCTTCTCTTTCCACCCTAGATACCACATGATTGTTGTGTGTCAAATGATAATTGGCTAATTACGTAATCCGTATCATTTGTCACTCTCGAATGCGTGCTTCGGGGCTCTTATTAAAGAGGTTTAAAATGTGATGTCTAGTTCATCCGGCATATCGAGCACATATCTCTTCAACCATTATTAACCTAGTGACATATTTAGTTCATCTTGTATGAGTTCGTTTAACATATCTAATCCATCGTATACCTTGCATTGTTCAGAACATCCGTTTAGAATCTCCTCCTCTAACGTTACTAATCCTCTAACATCGTACACCTTGCATTTTATCCCACATTGCTAGCTAACTAATTTTAAAAGCCTAAAATTAGTATTAATAAAGGTCCCCTCTAAGCCTATAGAATCATCAAGAAACAATATCTTCAAGTATTGTAAATGTCTTCTCTATTATAAGGAGTTGATTTATTTTATCTTTCCTTATAAGGCTAATTTGTTAGAATCCTTTCGAGTAGTATTTTTTTATTTTATTTTTGTTCGATATCACATCTGCCTCATCGTGATAGCCCCTATCTTGTGGTGCTATGGGCCACCATAACTGTCTTAATTATCTTTTAGAATTTATCTTCATAGCGACACTATAATTGCATTGACTTTCGATTCTCCATGGCAATAGCCTCCATGGTAATGACATCTATGATGATGATCCTTATAGTGATGATACTCAAGATCCTCGAGACCTCCCTCCCTCAATTTGTCCCTGTTCACCCTGCCACCTCCACCTCGTCGCAAGGCCCACTACCTTCCAACATGCTCGTCCCTTCCGCCTCCTCCCTCGTGTCCCCGCAAAGGTTGCTAAGGCACTCGAGTGTGTCCTCACCCTCATTCATTGCTATTGTGGCATCAGTCTCCTTCATTATATTGTCACCTTCAGAATTAGCTTTGCCAACTTCTATCTCTTCGACCATGTCGGTTGATCACTTTCATCCCCTTTGTTGTATCATCATGAAGGCAGCTAATATCCTTAAGTGTAGCCTCCCCCTTATTTACTATTGTTGTCATGCCAACCTCCTTTCCTGCTTATCACAATCATCCCCGGCTCTACCGATTTCAACTTCATTCACTAAGAACGAGAAACTAGAGACATTCCTTTGTGTTATCATTGGCCCCTATAATGACAATGCCATTATGTCGACCTCTGTACCTGCCTCATAGGGTAGTGGGTAGAGCATTGTAGGGTGAAGGCAACCATGATGGGGTGAAATGCAACTACGATGAAGGGAGGGATGATAGGGCCTCACGGGGTAAAGGCGATCATGATAGGGTGGAAGGCGACGATCGATAATGCCCACCTAAAAGAAAAAGTGACGATAATTGAACGAGAATAAAACAAAGAGAATAAAGTAATATTATCTTTTAAAAAGTAAAAAAAATGATTCAACGAGAATAATACAAAGACATCGATACTCTATTAAAAAAAACTATTTTAGAATTATGCATAAATGATAATTAATAATTTTTTTTATTCTTCACCTAATTATGACATGCGTATTATAATTGTTCGAGAAAATATTCCCATTTAGCTATTAGACACATCCAATTGACACATTAGCATTTTTTTTTTGACTCCACACATCGAGTCCCAATCTCATAATATCGATACTCTATTAAAAAACTCATTTAGAATTATACATAAATGATAATTAATGATTCTTTTTTTTTTAATTTTTTCCCTAAATTATGACATGCGCATTATAATTGTTCGAGAAAATATTCCCATTTAGCTATTAGAAACATCCAATTGACACATTAGCATCTTTTTTTTTTTTGACTCCACACATCGAGTCCCAATCTCATAGTATCGATACTCTATTAAACAAAACTCATTTAGAATTATGCATAAATGATAATTAATGATTCTTTTTTTTTAATTTTTCTCCTAATTATGATATGCGCATTATAATTATTCGAGAAAATATTCTCATTTAGCTATTAGAAACATCCAATTGATACATTAGCACCTTTTTTTTTTTTTTTTGATTCCACACATCGAGTCCCAATCTCATAATATCGATACTCTATTAAAAAAAACTCATTTAGAATTATGCATAAATGATAATTAATGATTCTTTTTTCTATTCTTCCCCTAATTATGACATGCATATTATAATTATTCGAAAGAAATATTTAGATCTTTGAACGATGGTATATATATATATATATATATATATATATATATATATATATATATATGACAAGGAATAAAATACCATCGTTCAAAGATCTAAACAATTCGTCTGGAACAATCGGAAGCGATACATACAAATGTACAGGAAGACTGTTGTGATTGGAGAGAGGAAGAGTTGTTCTTCACATCATCGTCAACAACACTGTAATCAATAAACGAATAGCTTTAGGTACAGAAGCCGCAATCATGGACTACTCCAACGACATCTTCGAGAGCGGGCTCGGCGAGGGGCGGAAGGTCCACCTCCTCAGGCACAGCGCCGGGCTTCTCCGATGCGTCGGAGGGTAGAGCGCCCGCCGAAGCACCTCCCGGTTCCCCGACCGCCGGTAACAAGGAACCCTGGCCGCTGTGTCGGATACACAGGACTGCCGGCCCGGCCGCCGCCTCGCACCGGGAGACTGTGCCAGCTGGTTGCATGGCCGTCTGGGCGGCCTGGACGGAGCGCCGCCCGGTACTCCTCCTCCTCCTCCTCTCGCCTGCCCTGCTCCGCTGGCACCGCGACGGTGCTCATCCGAGTGGCCGAGCTGCATCCGGTGATTGACGATTTCCTATCGAATTCTGCGACCTCCCATCTCCGGTGGCGTTTATATATCAGTTGGAGTTGCGCAGTACAGAAGCCATCCCGCTGTTTCCGTTCAGATTCAACTCTTTTGACGATTGCCGCTTCAACGCTGCTGCTTTAGGACGGGCGCAGTCTGAAAGCTTTGACTGTGGAATAGGCCACATGCGATGTATGACCAGTTTCACTGTGGAGGATGACGACTATTCTTCGCTGTCTGCGTCTCTCCCTTCCTCTGTCAAAAAAAGCTGTAGCACCTTTGAAGGGTCCAATTGGGACAGTGACATCCACCCAGAATCAAAATTATCATTAACAATGCATATCATTAGAATCATTACATGATAGATACCATTACGAAAGAAAGTGTTACCTGACGTCTTATTTCCTTTGTTTTCTTTTGAAAGCATTCAGTATGCATATACTATACTGGTCGACGATAGACATGGCGACAATTCGGGAACTATGAGAACAACATTTTCTTCGATGGCAACAATGAAAACTACTACACTATAGTAACATCCAGCGGCACTGAAGACCGCTAATTGTTCAAAACAGTAGACAGTACTCCAATAACTACTGGCATTTCTCACAAACAAACGGCTGACCTCTCCCTCTCGCCACAGCAAAGAAAAGGAACCTCAGCAGATCTATCATATTCTTACCGACACTAATCGAAGACCACTAATTGTCCAAAACAGTAGGCAATCTCTCAAGAACTACTTACATATCTCACATACATCTCACAGACATACGACTGACCTCTTGCTAAGAAAAAGGAAAAGAAAGAAAAAGGAAGGAACATCAGGATATGTATCATCGTCTTACATTCCCGTACATTCCAACAAAAGTTGGACAGCAAGACAAAAGCAAGCCTTTAAAAAGCTAAGAGATGGCGGAATTTTTACAAGTCCTTCGGAGGTAAGAATTGCGCCTTGAATCAGATGAATCAAAATGAACTATAATTCCTGAAAAAGGATCATAAACATGCATCACCATGCATCTTCTCATCGGAAAATCTTGGAAGCTGAACAATTGAGTTAACTCGTGTCACTCCTTCCAGGCCTGACCAGCTCCCATCCTCGGCAGCACAATCTGTTCCACGTTCCTCCAGAGCAACTGATATCCTGGTGTTTCCTGTTGGTCTTACTGTGAAATTCCGATCTAATGTGGGTTCGTGATTTTGTGCTTCATCTGATTCAATTTTGGAATCTTCATAGCTGTAAACAAAAGAAGATGAACAGTTCACGAGGGACTCGGACACAGTATTCGTCTGTCCATCCAAATACAAGCAAACCACAGCACAGTCATCCATCCTTGATGTAGGGTATTTGAGTTTCCATTCACGAGCAGCAGTTTCAACTAGAACCTTTGCGGCCGATGATCGGGTTGGAGATGAAGAGATGATGTCGACAACATCTTTGTTTGTGAGTACGTCCCAGACCTGCAGGATTCAATAGCAAAACTGTTCAACAATAGTGCAATCAGATGTGTATTATTATACAGATTCAATATCCGAAACATCAGTTAAAATGTGGATGCTGTCAGTGCAATAAAGTTACAAAAAATGGTTACACAATTACTCAATTATCTCTGTGACATCAGGTGTCTGATCAGCTAAAATTTGTCAGTATCATTGCTCTAGCAGAATTCAGCCACGTCTCTATGTCCGTTCTATTTTACTTGTGACTTGCATAGATGCCATGTAATGAAAATGCTGGAACACTACTTAATAAGTACAGAATTTTTATACTTGAAGAAGCATGTTAACAATTAGTAGTGAGCAAATTCTGAGGAAGAACAAAGTTACCATTTGAAGCCTCTACAAAACTAAGCAACTTCCATATTCTTTTTTCTACTAAATTTTTTCTTAGGTCTCACACGATAAGTTTGTTTTTAGTTAATATTAGCTCTGCAAAACAATGGCATCTTTTTAAATGAGCAAGCTGCCACAAGAACCCAACCAAATGCATCAAATACAAGTAACACCACAAAGACTTTGACAAATGTCAATAAATTAGTCAAACTTCGGCGTCAAAAAACCCAAAGCCAAAAGAATAGATAGAAGCAGGGATTGCTGTACTGCCCAAAATGGTACGATTTGGGTGGGATGTACCGGTCTGAGCATCAACCGATACACCGACCATCCTATTTCGGGCCATCCGAATTAAAATAATAAAAAATGATGGGCCCTAGTCCATTTCAGTGTTAAAAAAAAGGCAGATTAGGGCTCTTCTAGCGTACGAAGCCGCGACACTGCCTCTTCGCCGCTGTGATGCTGCAGTGACATTGCCTCTTTGCCGCTTCGCCACTGCAATGCTGTAACAGCATTGCCTCTTCGCCGCTGCGATACTACTGCTTCCCTTCGATGCAGCCGTTGCTGTCACTGCTTCCCAGGTATCGTTGCACTTTTCCTCCTTTTCTTTCTTCTTCTTTTTCCTTCTTCCTTTCTCCTTTTTCCTCGTTTGTTCATCCACCGAACCTTCCTCTTCAATTTTCTTCCCAGTCAAAACACTGGTTCGCACCGACGTAACGTATGTTGGTACACTGATACGAAGCGACATGTGTCGTGCCACTGGCCGACTGGCACACCGGCTCGGACCGATAAGTCAAATCTTAGATAAAAGTACCATTAAGTGCATCATGTCTCACAAATTTACATATGATAGCCTCCTAATCTCTTTGTATGCAATTATCCTTTAAATTTAGCTAGAAAATATATCGATATTATTATTTTCAATTATGTGGCGCTATTTGAAATGGTTGGGTTAAAAAAAATGGTGGCAACCAACAATATATACTGTTCCATGAAATACCAGATACCATGCAAGAAACTTGGATGGTTCAGCACCAACAAATGCAGTGGGCACTGGGCAGAGAATCACTTTTCTTGCTGCCATGATTGAAGCAACCATAAAAAGAGATGTTATCTGAGCTTTGTTATTATGTTGGAATAAGTTATGTTGCAATACTAATGTTACCTAGGGTAAGAACAGTAGTATATTGAGTACTTTTACAAGATCAATACCTTTTAAGACATTTTAAAACTGTCCAGAAAGAACCCAACTGTGAGTGTCTGAAACAAGCCTGGAGTTTCTTTTAGACTGTCTCTCAATGACGGACACCTATTTTGTCTTAAAATCTTAAGAATGAAGGCTTTCCCTTCCGTCTTAGCAAATGAATTGAAATATCACATTTTACATAAATCACTGTGAGTCCAAAACTATCAGAAACCATATTAGCATTCAAAATATTGATCTCTGAATGAAGCCAATTAGTACCCAACTGAAATCATACAGTATATTATTTCAAAATTTTCCGACCGTATCATCCAAATGTTTAGAATATCTCACTGTTGTTTCATGAAGGCATAGGTGTTGCTCTAAACATATATCAGTAACATGCAAATTCTTAACCAATAACGGAGACTATTGATCATCTAGGTCATTTTCTACTTGTATCCAGATTCAGGGATGCATTAACCTAGTTCCTTCTGGATGTTTGGGCATCAACTCATAATTATATGCAACATGAGGAATTAATCTCTATGTAACTTAGAATTATCAAATGGAATTTCACGAGAAGTAGAATCATGAACTATTCACAAAATTAAATCAAACATTCGCTATGGGGCAAAATCAAGATCTGAAAACTAACAACAAAGAAGGCTAATACCTTATTGCATAGTGATGCTGGCTTCTAAGGATATTAGTAAAATAGTAAAGTTCTTGGGCTTGTTGTATTTTCTGGAGTTGGCACCATTGTTTTGTGAAGTTCCAAATTTATTTAAACCAAAAATCCAGGTACAAAACAATTTATGTAGCCACAGAGATAGGCAATCCAATCCCTATACTCATTTATTGAGTTTCTTTGTTGTCACACTAGCAATGAAAAAGGAAACATTGGTGAAGCAAAAGCCACATGTTTTTAGCATGAGTCCTATGCTGAATCAACTGTGAGGGCTAGAATACAATCTCAATTAGGTATGCTAGTTCTTACGACCATCATTATTAATGCCAGGTTTCATAGTACCACAGTGTTTCCAATATGATAGTTATATCATTCATAGACAACTCAGTGACCAACAGAAACAAATTAACCTTGACAATAAAAAAGTCTAAAAAATTCTACTGTTCTTAAGCACAAAAGTTACAGTGAATCACGAAAATAAAGGAACTAAACATTTATTTTAGCATAGTTCTTTGGCTGAGCAGCAACTATGAGGGATAATATCAAAAGAAATTTTTGATATGAATTAAGTTATCAGGAAGTTTTTGAGTCTGTTTAAAAGTTGAATTTAGGGATGATATACAAATAAAAGGAATAATTCTGGTTTAGCACTGGGTTGTTGTGAAACCAGTATATTAAAAAAAAAGAACAGTTAATATATACAATTCATGGCATCAAATACTGAATATACTTATTGGAAATTGACAAATTTAAGTTCCAACTTATTCGGTTGGATACTGTATGCTCACATATCACCTAAGATGGCCTGACAACCATTGTGCATTGTCAAAAACATGGTAATTCACAAAGAGTGTAACAAGATAATTATGAATTGCAAGGTCCAATAATTTTTAGCAGCTGGAAGTTATAGACCACTTACACCATCAGATGCAAGTACGACAAACTGGTCCTTCTCTGTCAGGTTCCAATGGAAGAATTCTGGCACAGAGATTACCCCATAATCCTTCAAACAGAAGTCACCAAAAGCTCTAGCCATCGCTAGCCCAGGAGCATCATCGTAAGGCAGCCACACCCTTGACACCTCTGGCTCATCCTGCAGAGCAAATACCCTCCCCCTACACCTCTTGATTCGTTCAGCTTCTCCTGCAGCAAATCCAGTCAACAGTTTATACAGCATTGACCCTAAAATGAAACAAGTTGGACGCTAGAATGACTGCATACTTGGAAGATCAGGCTTTAGATCGACCGTCAACTGCACTGGAAGCATGGAACTATTAGTGTCGTCGGTGCACCCCAAGACAGCACGGGAATCACCGATGTTTGAAATGAAAAGATTACAACCCTGAGCTTGTGAGCAGAAACAGAACACAGAGTGAGGGATCAGAAGAAAGAAAAGAAATAAGACTGTGTACGGCGTGAGATAATGGATGACAATAGATCGGAGGAGGAAGAGCAGACCAGCTTGAGCAAGATCACGGCGGTGCTGCCACTGCAGAAACAATCGAGTGTCGGATGGGAACGGAGCTCCTTGTCCATGGCCTTGGACGACCTCACGAAGGCCTCCCTCCAAACCGACAGGGATGGCTCCTCCACGGAGGAGGCGGGATCTAGTACCGGGACGCCGTGTCTCCTCCCGAAACAGAAACAGGACCGGTCCATAAGGCTGCGGCCACCGCCAGGAAAGGGGAGAAGAGAGAGGAGCTTGAGGGGGAGGGCGTCCCGGACCTTGCGGGCCACCAAGTGGCCGTGGGGGCCGTGGCCGTCGAACACACCGCAGAGGACGACGCCTTGACCACCGAAGTCCTGGATCGAAGACATACACATAAATCAAGCCCAAACCAACCAAACCCCGTGATGAGATAACGATGGGCGGAAGCGTTATTGATCGGTGATAACAAGATGCGATTCGAATTTTGCTTTGGCTTACCTCCCACAGGATCATGGCGTCCTGGTTGATGCCCTTGCAGCCCTGCTGCGTGTAGATGGAGGCGACGCTGCTCCTGCCCTCGTTCGAGAAGATCCGGCCGGGCAACACATGCAACGCATCCTCCCGCATCACCGCATCTCTCCTCCTTCCTGCTCCTCCATCGTCGGTCCTTCTCGCCTGACTGCCTTCTCTTCTACTACTACGAGTACGAGGGAGAGTCCTCGCTGGGGTGGCAGCTGCGGCGGCGGCAATTGCGGTCAGGCAGTTCCCCATTCGGAGCCCAAAGCTGCATCTGTCGTCGAAGGTCCGGAGGAGTGAAGAGGCGAGAAAGAAGAATCAGCGGCAATGGGAAAAGGGGGAATACCGTCTTCCTCTCTCTTTCCTTCCATATATAAATAAGCCAAAGGAGGAGTGAAGGAAAGAAGTGGGAAAGGCAATACCACTTGAGAGTTAGAATTAGTTGACTGTGAGACACACACATGAGAGATAACTGTGTTTAGTAAGTTTGTTGAGTGGAGCATAAATGATTCAAGCTTTGACTTCAACTTATACTCTTCTCATAAGTTGAGTCTACTTTTGTGTGGGCAATGATGCTTCATAATTGCACACTTAATCCTTGAATGGAATTGGGAGAAATGAGTTATTGATGGATACTTTGGTCCCATAGTCAACCAATGTCATGGCTTGAATGGTTTGGAGGTTCACATGGCTTCCACTGGATCAGCTTACAAGCTGCTTAGATACAAGCAGGGATACATCTCTCAGCTCTTTTGGGCTTTAAGTTGGCTTATCTTACCGACTCTGGTCTATAAATTAATTGTATCAATAGTATATGAAACATTTTAAAGTATATCAATAACAAATGAAATATTTCGAAACATATCAATAACAAAAATGAAACTTTTCGAAGCTTATCAATGATATATGAAATGTTTCGGAGCATATCAATGATAAATAAAATATTTTGAAATATATATGAAATATTTCAAAACATAATAATGGCATAAATATTTCATAAGCATAGGGAGCATATTTTGATGTTTGTTTCAATCTTATCTTAAAATTTTCTTTAAGACATTTGAATCATTAATGTTATGATTTTACTATATACATTGGATTTCACTCGTGACTTAAAAACCTCAAGCTTTTATATTGAATCGGTATCAAATTTAATATATATTAATCCTAATATAATAAATTACATCATGATGGACAAATGAATTACAGTTTTATAGATAGAAAATATTTGGATTTAATATTTTTTTAAAAAAATATTAGCAAATAACCTTGTAATTTGAGTTAAAAAAAGAAAAAAAAAGAACTTGAATAATTTACTTGTGAAGGATTTTCTAAACAATAAACACCATATACAAACATGAACTATTTTAGAAGATATTTATGAAAAAGATAAATATCCTCTTATAACATCACATGTATTAAAAGGAAAATATTGTAACAATAACATGATAGAAATTATTATTAGATGAAGTTGATATTCCTATTTATCTATCTATCTATCTATCTATCTATATATATAGAAATTATTTTTTAATACTTTTTCTCCCTCTTATCATGCTATTAAGCAGCTTAGTGAAGCTGTTGATGCTCCTTAACTTCAGAATTAATTATAGATTATCTCCTATAATTAGTTATTTTTAGTATTTTGATTTTTATATTTTTAAAGGTTATACTTGATCCCTATATTTATGAAAGAGAAATATTTAATCTAATTTCTCCTCACATCACAGAAATATTATAGAGCTTACTACTTAGTATATGTTGATTTTATCTTTTTTTGATTTATTACTAAACATATATGATATTTTTGTTAGTAGACTCGACGAAATGAGAAAAAATGAAGTTAAATATTTCACTTTAGTAACAGTACATATTAATGACAACTAATTACTAGAAACAATTTATAATTGATCCTTCTAAATACAGTTTCAAATAATTATTAAGTGAAATATTAGCTTGCTTCAAGTCAAGTTAAATATAACGAAGTTAAATATTTCATAGGTGTTTTGTGCCGGATTCGAAAGAAGGAGAAGGTGAGTTCTTTTTGTTGTCTTATAGGACAGGAATTGGTATCTCGATATTATTGTTCCTTTTTTTTTTCCTTCAAGCATAAGAAAAAAAGGAAAACAAAACCAATTGCATAAAAAAAAAAAAAAGTCTGGCAGATAGGCTTCTAGATGTGACGGTGGTGATGGTGATGTTGATGGTGGTGGAAAAGAAAAGAGTAAGAGACTGGTCAGAGACAGGAAGTGGAAATTCTTTTGTCTATTTGTATGAACTTTTATTCCCTACGGAGCCATCAATATGAGCATGCCTTGGACTTCTCTTCAGCTGTTCTCTTTGTTAGCTGCTGTCCTTGCGGTTTCTCGAGTTTCAGAGGTAGGCATTACTGTATTCTATAATATTTTTTTATTTTATTTTTAAATATATAGCTTTAAAATAATACAGTATGATATTGTTTTGGAATTAGTCGTAGTTCAATTTAGGGCGTATCAGAGTCCTATAGCTGCATTATGTTTTGATGTTAGTGGGACCTCACCGGCTGCTGCATCTATCGATGGCAGATTATGATAAAAATAATTATAAAATATCAATTTTTTATTCTTTATATGTTTTAATCGTTAATCAATCCAGGATCAATCGTAAATTTGAATACATAATTTGTAGCTTTACAACTCTATTGCTACGTTGCGACGAAGATACATGACTCTTCTCTACTGATCTCTTAATGTGATCTATTCTATAGCAGATTCATTTCACTTTGTTGATCTAATCAACCTTTTCTGGCGATCGACTTGCTTCTTTAGTGATCCTCTGTTGTTGTTTAGTTTTGCTTGATGAATGTTCCCTCTGCTCCTACACTGGTGTCTACTATATAGCATCTTCATCGACATCCTCGTCCCTTTCTCATCAATCATCAGACTTACTAGTGCTTCGGATCCATGATCGATCTCTCAATGATAGTCCACTACCTTTTACCATCCTCTCGATTGTGCCATCAATACTCACGATCGAGAGGACTTAGAAGAAAAACGAAGAGATCGCCCTCTTCTACACATCTCAGATTAGATCCTTATGCACTTCTCGTATATGATCTCATCCTCCTCCCTTGTACACTTCCTAAATTTGATCTCCTTTAATAGATCATATCTCCATCATCTATGCTTCCAAATCAGATTATTAGTTGGTTATGGATTTCCCTATTAGATCATGATATCTTCTTAACATATCTTCCTCCTCTACATCTAACGCTTTAATTATAGTTTCACCATAAAACAATAGTTTATCTTAACTCAGAGGACTTATATCTATCAAATGCAGTAACTCTAATCTCATTCAAGCTCTTGAAAGATGATAATTATACATCTTAGCAAGCATAATTCATTAATCTTCTCTTTAAATTTAATTTATTAAGCTACATTAATGTCTCTCTTAGTTATCCACTAGAAAATATTCAAATATCAAAAGAGCTCGTCCAAATAGCAAATCCTAATGACAAATTATGGTTACAATAATATTATCTTATTCTATAAGTCATTCAAACCTCAATTGTTGGCTCCATAGTGCCATTAATTTCTCTGTGTAGTATTACAGTAGAAGTATGGTTTGAGTTATAAGCTACCGTTATCAATTACTCTCGCACTTGCATATTATGTCTTTTATCTATTCTGATGAAAATAATACAAAAGAAAAATATTATTACTAATTATATGTAAATTTTAAAACTTATTATAAATGATTTGAGTTTAATAGATCATCCTCTCAGTGATGATGAAGTCATTATTTATACTTTCAATGACCAACGAGGTAAACATAAGAAACTGATGATAGTAATTTAAGCACATGACTTACTAATATAATTTAAAGAATTATATGATAAGTTGATTGATCATAAAATATATCTAAAAAGAGAAGAGAGGAAAATAAAATCAACTATTATAGTCTAATTCAATCAAAAATCCAAAAGAATGGATAATCAAAATAATAAAAACTTCAATAAAAAATCAAACAAGATATCTCCTAGACACACGGGTAACATACAAAGGATTATTCTTCGTTACATTATCAACTCTTCAATTATGATGGTAACTTCAATCCAAACAACTTAGAAAATTACTTCAATTATAACTATCAACTGTTCTAGTGTTTTAATAATACTAATTAATAAAAATTCATCTGCCAGCTCTATGAGAAAATTGGATACATAGTAAAAGTTTATCGATCTTGACCCAAGCCTACTACTACACCCAATTGGTCTTAAGCAAACATCATGTTTACTTCCGCTACTCATCCACTTAATTTGATTATTGACTTTGGTACTTCTCATTATATCACTTTTGATTTACAGAATTTATCCATTCATATATGGAGGCAATAAAGACATCATTATTAATAATAATAATGGAATCTCTATCACTCACATTGGTTTAATAATATTTAATTTATATATAAATACTTTTATACTTATCGAGGTCAGAATAAAGATAACATCTACAAGTGATCATTTATTTCATAAATCCCTTAGCAAATTATTGTTGCTTTAATTACTACTCCAATTGATGTGTGGTATCATTATCTTAGTTATCCATCATCCTCTATTTAATAACAGTTAATTAGTTAATTTCTCATTATTTTGTTTTGACTTTCAATATATGTAGAATTATAACTTATTCTGATGCTTACTTTAGTAACAAAAGTCATAAACTACTTTTTGATATATCATTCATATCTTACTCTAAACTACTTGCTATTATTTATATTGATGTCTAAGGCCTTGCCCTAACCATTTCTTTTGATATTTTGATATTTTATATTATTTTTTAATTTCTTCATCGAATATAAATAGTTATATCCTCTCAAACATAAATCTAATATTACTGCAGTCTTTACTTATTTTAGAAAAGTGATTGAGATTTTTTTCTAATCTCATTAAAATAATTTACTTTAATAGATGAGATGAATACCAAGCTTTAACAACTTACATCTCTATCATATGGTATATAATATCTAAGTCACAATCACATGTATCTCAACTAGTTGTCTTTGTCGAACAAAAGCATCGACACAATTAAAATTGGTCTCACTCTCGTACCCTAAACCTCTATGCCACTAGTCTTATAGTCCGCAGCCTTTTAAATTATAGTTTATCTCATTAATTACATACTTACCGTAATCCTACAACACTAGTCACTATTTAAAAAATTATTTCATAAAATCTCAAATATTTAAAAACTTAAAATACTCAATTATTTATATTATCCCTAGCTATGTTTCTATGCTTCATATATGTTAACACAAAGATCCAACGCTTGGGTACTATCTTAAATATAATATTTTTTAATATTATGATTCTAAAAGTCAAAAGATCTTCGTATCGTGTCATATTATTTATGTTAAGTAACTTTTTCCTTTCAAAATCTTGCTCCTTTAGTAATGTGAGCCACTGCAATAATAATTAATTATCGAATTCATATGAGTATACCTCAAACCCCCCACAAGTACACCTCTCATAATATCAACTAGTCGGTCTTTCTAGACATGTACTCCCTTATTATATAATTTATCAGCACCTCACCCATTCCATAACTTCTCACTCTACCTCTTCACCAACTCCCTATGTAATGTATGGTGAAGCAATGCCCTGGACATCACAAAATGATATATTTATATTTTCCTCGGTCAAGTAATACGGAAGTGCATTAATTTGATCATATACATGCCACTAAGTCTTTTATCAGTTTTCATACCTTTAACACAGTTTAATAAGACACTCGAGCTTCAACGGTAACACATTCCTTTCACAATAAATTCTTCAATCATTTATAATTTATATTCATCAAGTAGCTTTTCTCCCATCTTTATCACACACACTAACTTAAAAGTTTTTTTAATTATATCATGAATGATATATCTCTTTCATAATAAATTCTTTCCTTCTTGAAAACTTAAAACTTACGTTCATACACATTACAAATATGATAGTCATACACATTTGCTCCTATCTTCATCACACATGCTGACCAAACAAATGGATACTGGTCAGCTCGTCAAAGGCGACTAGTCATTTATTTGCAATCTCCCCTTACGGAGGAGCAATCTCATGTTATCAGCCGTAACGAGAATAAAGAACATCAAAACTGGGTTCAAAAGTGCTGTTAATGTCATAGCAGCAGCTGTTATTAGTAAGATTGCTCCTCCTCCTCCTCCGGCCATTCTTCTGTTTTCCATTACTGCAAGGGTTACTCGTCTTAATGCCAACAGCAGCAGCTCACTGAGAACAATGTTACTACTTGCATGTTACTCATCAATCAAGTACGGAGTATTCTGGCACTGCTCGATCTGGGTTAAGTCATCATCATGTTTTTTTTCTTGATCTTCTCCTCTATCTCACATCTCATACGAATGAAAGCTTTGTATGCTTAGTATATATTATATACACATGAATATGTTGCAAATGTTGATGTGAATTTAGGGAAAAAAAATGCAAAACATGAAGCAAAACTTGCAAGTAAGAATAAACTTGGGTTAGGAGTTTGCGATTTGTCCGACCACATCTGGAAGTGACAAGATTGTGATGTGATGGATAGATAGGATAGATGGTGCAGGATAATCTTGTTCTCCTTCTTGTCGTCCTCCTCGGGTTTCATCCAATCTGACTCAGTCGCATGTCCAATCGGTCTTCAATTCCGCAGGTACAATTGAAAGTTCGTGTCAACTTTCAAGCGAACATTGACATTTCCGAGGATTCTCCCCATACGCCTCCCGCAAGCAAATCCTCCGTGTGTAAACGTTAGTGTTCGTCCACGTGGTCCGTCCGTCGTCTGATCGCTTTACAAATCGTGCTGCACGTGATGAAACTCGCGCCGCGTCTTTGAAGGGGGAAACGAACCGGATCGCTGATCACCTTCGTTTATAGCTGCGTAAGATAAGCCAGGAATCAACATTCAACAGAACAGTCTCGATGTGGTCGTCTTCCTCTCCTCTCCCCTCCCCCTCCTCTTCTGCTCCTTTGAAATAGTCTCTGCGGATGAAATTTTTATCTCCCGTCATTCCCATGTCTTGGAAATCAAAATCAAACCTTGACGTAGTACATTCAAACTACTTCTTTCCATCGCCGGTATATAAAGAGAGAGGGTGCACTCCCTATCCCATATTCCGACATCCCCTAGTATACATTTGTTCTGTAGATAACCACATGGCGTCCGTGCGCAGAGTTCTTCCCACTCGTCTCGTCTCGAGGGTGGTGACGGCATACAAGGAGCAGGCCGCCGCGGCGGCCACGAGGAAAGGGAGTGTGTCGGACAAGGTCGACGTCGCCCGCTCCTGCGACGTGTTCATAAGCCACAGAGGTACAGACACCAAGATGACGTTGGCCGGGCTGCTCTACGACCGCCTCGTCCATCACAACGTCCACCCGTTCCTGGATAACCGGACGATGGAGCCGGGGGACAAGCTGTACGAGTGCATCGATGCCGGCATCCTGCAGTGCAAGGTCGGCGTCGTAATCTTCTCGCCCAGGTACTGCGACTCCTTCTTCTGCCTCCATGAGCTGGCGATGATGGTGGAGGCCAAGAAGAAGCTGATTCCCGTCTTCTGCGACGTGAAGCCCTCCGAACTCTCGGTTTTGGACGCCGAGTCGCATTCGCCGGAGAACCTGAAGAGGTACAGCAAGGCGCTTCAGGAGGCCAAGTACACGGTGGGGCTGACCTTCAACTCCAAGACAGGGTAAGGCCCTCGAGTTCTCTTCCTCTGTGGACTCTCATCATTCCTTCCTTCCTTCCTTCCTCCGCTTAATTGTTTGGATTCTTTGATGGTTATCAGGAACTGGTCGGAGCTGGTGTCGAGGACTGCGAACATCGTCATGAAGTGCATGAAGGAGGGAAAAGACCGCTGAGGAAGACGAGCAAAATCGTTTGACCAATGCAATGAATCAAGAAAATAATTTTGACTGATTCTTTGATTTGTAATAACGGATGTTAACTGATCTCTTCATTTCTAATAACGGTAACACAATGAGCGACCCATTTGCTCGCGGCATATTGTTGTCTCTTCCTTCATTGTTTTTGATAAGGGAATTCAATTCAGTGATTATTCGCAAATAATAAATATTTTTCTTTCTCCCATTCTTTGACTGGTTTGATTTTTTGTTTTACAAACCAAAAATACTTAATTGAGTATATATATATATATATATATATATTAAAAAATCTTGTAATATTTGTATTCATTCATTGTAAGGATGATAAAAAAATAGGGTGAGACATTATCCAATTATATTTTTTTTGATTATTGGATCAAAATACTATACTTTTATTAAGAAAACTATAATCGATTCGATATGATAATCAGTATATTTGACTGAAAAACTGATTCGAACTATTTAGGTTTAAAAAAAAAATCATTATTGACTATCAAATGTTAATAATAAAAAAAAAGAGTCCTTTGAAAGGTAGAGTTTTTCCACAGGTAATTGGAAAATAGGAAGCTTGATTCAAACAAGAGCTAGAAAATGTAAGGCTTTCCCAAAATAAAAAGAAAACATAAGAAACAAATTTAAGTGTGTCAAAATGTAAAATATTATAGTCAGGAAATATATAAGTGGATGATTTTAATTCGGTTTAGTCAGCAAATATATGAGGGATAGCCTCAAGAAGCAGAAGAAACAAGTATGGTTTGGTTTCTAGAAACTGAGTCGAAATTATAATAAAATCGGATCAATGTTTAAATAATTCTAAACCAAATCAGAATCATAATTATGGTTTTGGTTTCTAGAAATTAAAATCAGAATTGAGATTGATTGTTTTAAACCATTTAAATATATATAAAAAAATAAATAGTTGGTATGGTGTAATGATAAGTACTTTTAGTTTTAAAAATGATGATATGGGTTCTGATAAAATAATTTAGTTTTTTGTTAATTGAAGCCGATAGATCGAATCAAAATCGAAAATAAATCGATGATTTTGATACCAATTTCCAATTTTACTGAAATTGTGGTTTGGGAATCATGATCACCCCTATGGTTAATACATAATGTGAAAGGAGGAGGAATGTATAAAGGAAATTTAGAACAATACAGAATAGTAGAGGAAAGAGAGAAGAAAATATTAAGTGCAGAGAAGATGGAATAGGGAGGAGAAAGGTCAGTGGCAAATTTCCATTTGTTACCCACATATAGACTTCAGCCAGTATCGGAAGAATGCAGCTTCGGTGGTCTCCCATTTGACCAACAAGCTTTATTTTTCTTCCAGTAGATTTGAAGCAAGATGATCTACAGGCACTGTCTTGATTTTTCCGACTTCCAACTCTTCTCCATCAGTTCTCTCATGATTTTGACGTGGAATCTCTTCAGGTTTCCCACATATGACTTCTTGGTAATGTTCCTTCTCAGTGACTCTTTAATTCTTAGAATTAAGACCTACATCTACTCTTAATTTAAATAATGATGTTCTGATTGAGGAGAAACACCTGCTAATGTCCACCCATTTACAAGAGGTGTTCAAAGGGCTTGTTGTATCTCAGAGTGGAACCAGTCTTTTGAGGTATTGTTCTGCATTTAATGGTAGTGTAATTTACTTGGGCACTTCAAACCACATGATCATTCACAAGGAAGATGTTAAACACCAATGCACAGATACCCATCATCAAAACTTACACTATTTTCCAGTAATTTGTAATGTGCCAATTGTTTTTCCACTGCTAATGAGTGGACAACACATAGTTGTCTTCTCTGGTGCATTGCTGTGCTTCATCTTGTAACATAGTAACACATTTTTGCCGCTACAGAAAATAACTGAGAAGACAAACTTCGCTTTTTGGAACATTACTTCTTTTAGGAGCCTACAAACTCCAAATAGTACCATCTGTAATTTTGGCTGAGCCACTCTTGGGTGCTCGATCAAGAAAGGAACTGTTTAGCTATGCTGGCAGTCCAATCTGATATTGCACAAAAGTATGACATACTCATCGGTGAGGAATGTTCTTCCGTTTGCATCCATTGTAAAGTTTAGTTCATCATCTGTAGAAGACTCGATAGCATTATTTACTTGATCAGAGAGAAATGTCCAATGTGTCCAAAGCGTCACAAAGGTCGGATCCAAGCTCTCCATCAGAATGCAGATCAAGATCTTCTATGCCTTGCGCTTTGGTTTCTGTTGAATTATTGGATGATGGTTTCTCCAGATAGAGACTGTTGATAAGATCTTGAACGAGCATTCTTTGGTTTAAAACATGTTGTTTCAGCTCCTCAAGATCACACTTCACTCGTGGTACTTCTTCAAGTATCCTGCAGGAGAGCAGGAACCTCAGCTTCCAGGAAAAACAACATATCAAATTTTACCTGTTAATTAGATGCAGCCACACCATTTATCTGAAATTGTTGAGTACCAGAAAGGAAATGAACATTTATCTAAAATTAGATTCCACTTTGTTTATTGACAAATTGTCCACACTTCATAAATTTTACATCAGGAAACCATTAATAATAATGTACGATTTCTTCGTTACTCTCAAGAAGAGATTATCCAAAACCTATTCTTTTAATACAATTCGACTAAAATTTGGAGTGTGTAACTACTTTAAATGCCAAATTTCATATACTCAATTTGGATGGTCTCTCAACATCAGAACATGCTGGTTGTGATTAGAATCCTTTTCTTGATAGCAACAATCTACCACATGGGCTGAAAGAAACTGTTGATCCCTCCATAAAATTCGGAAACCATCAAGTGTTATCACCTCAACTACTTACTTAAATGTC